GGTAATGTTACATCGTCTATACGCAATATCCCCCCTACTGAACTTCCGACCTACTAACTTTCCTACCTACTGCAATATCGGACCTACGCCAGCTGTTTATTTTTGTATTATTTGAGGGTTAGGTTAGGTTAAGACAATTTCTGGGCCGAGCGCTGCGGCTAGGACAGGCTAGGGGGCCGAGCGCCGCGGCTAGGACAGGCTAGGGGGCCGGGCGCTGCGGCCACATGTCCATATCGCAGCTGTAAAACCACGTGCTAGTAGGTCGGATGTGTTTTATAGCGGATTTGGCGTAGGTCAGAAGTGGAGTATAGCAGATATGTGTAGGTCGAAAAATACACCACCCACTTCCAAACATCGCCACGGCGAGGTGGGCTGGGGGCCGTGGGGGGGGGCAGAGGTTGGAAGAGAGAGAGAGAAAGAGAACAGCTGATATGTTCAGTTCAGTTTAACTTTATAAACAAACTGTGAATCACACGAAAGCTTGAAAGAGAGCAACAAAATGATAAAGGATTGGAAACGTGACTGCGAGGCTTAGCAACACAGTATACATTAAACAGCTTGAGGAGGAGGAGATAAGATAAATATTGATTAAACATGGTATAGTTGTATTCCGTCCTTAACAATGCATGGAGTCTATTTGATCCCTTTCCTGCTAACCAATGTTTTCGGCCTGGCACATAGGATAGGAATTGTTCAAGAGTTCTACGGAGATATTAGTAAAAACAAGGATGCTTATCATACAGTAAATATAGATCTGGAGAGGGGTGAAACTTTAGGGGTACAGACGGAGACAAGTAACCTAACCTTACCTCTTCAATTCCTAATCAAGGGATACGGTTCAATACAGCATTGGCAGGTTCCAGCTCGGGAGTTCCCTGATACAAACTTTGTACTGAAAACTCTCTGCTCAATGGGCCCAGGGAGGATACAGATAATAGTATCCAGTGAACATAGTGTAAGTTCGTCCTACAGAATAGTTTTAAGAAAACTTCAGTATTATGTTAGTTCGGAGTACAGTTTGGACAATATCCAGGTCTCTCCGTCCTCACCTGCAATATTCAGGTATTATTGATATTATTTTATTTTATTATTAATCATTATAATTACATTAATTTATTTTAAATCTAATGAATCAAAGTTTTTCTAATTCTGAATCTGATATGAAATTAAACTCTGTTAACATATCAACTATTTTAACATTTTAGATTTTATAAAATTCAATAAAATGAATTGTACACTGTAATATATTAAAAATATTTATGGGGGGGGAGGTTTCTTTATTTGTGTTAGATTTGAAGAGCATCCTTTTTTAGAATGACATTCTAGAATTTTGAATCTTTTCAAGACCAAATAAATTTAATTTTAGTCTTTGCTTGCATAATACCTAATTTTTGGAATTTGAACACACAACTAAGCATTTGTATTATACCTCTTAAAGATGTTATTGACGGTTATGATAAGTTTCGAAATCAGTGAACTCCATTTATTTGCGAATATTTTTATGTAAATTAATGTAACTGAACTCGCTTTTTGATGCATACTNCGCTCTGATTGGACATAACTAAAAATGTATCTCAATTTAATAGTCAACTATATTCATAAGTTATTAATTTAATGAAGAAATTCAAGCAATCTAAATCCAAATTATCAATGTGATAATTAGGATCTGTTTTCAGATTCGAATTTCCTCCGGGAACTCCTGACCATAAACTGGTGGTTAAACAGGGACCTGGAGCAGTCTGTTCCATAGTCTCCATCCGTCCTGATGAGCTCTGTCCCGACTACGCCCTCCCTGATACTGAAAGTATTGTAAGGTTCGGAGAAAAAGTGCAGTTTCAAACAATGCTGAAGAAAAGCTCTCTTGTCATCACGAGAAATCATTTCTCAGAAAACACGACTGCGATCAATATTATCATTCTTGCCAAAAGGAGCGACGAGGGATGTTATTCAGTTTCCAGTTTTCAAGAGGACACGGAGAGAATAGGAAACTTCAGTTTGTTCGTCCTACAACAGCCGGAGAAGCTAATCTATATCTCAACCTTGCCAGTTCTTGGTTTCTATACTATTGGAGCTCTACTGGCCATTATTTTAGGCCACCTTACCTTCAGGTCAGCTTGATTCATTTTCCTGGTAATGTTACATTGTCTATACGCAACATCCCCCCTACTGAACTTCTGACCTACTAACGTTCCGACCTACTTCAATATCGGACCCACGCCAGCTGTTTATTTTTGTATTATTTGAGGGTTTGGTTAGGAATTAAGACAATTTCTGGGCCGAGCGCTGCGGCTAGGACAGGCTAGGGGGCCGGGCGCTGCGGCCACAAGTCCATCTAGCAGCTGTAAAACCACGTGCTAGTAGGTTGAATGTGAAGTATAGTGGATTTGGCTTAGGTCAGAAGTGGAGTATAGCGGATTTACGTAGGTCGAAAAATACACTATCCATTTTCCCTTTTTTTATTATTTTAGTATTCTTGAACAAAAAACAGGACAGTCAATTTCAAACTACCTGTAATTCTTTAGTATTATTCTATATACAATACACTAGTATTATTCTATATAAATACACACACTTGACTTGTTTGTCTGTATCCAATAAACTTTTTAAGGTCTGATCCGATCAGGTCCAATTTTATTGTGGTAACTCACATGGGTGATAGAACGGATGAAATTGACAAATTTAGTTTTTAAAAAGTGGGTATTGATTTTTTTTGGAAATGCAGGTCAATTTAAACAGAAAACAGAAACGATGCAAAATGCTTTGAAAAGAAATTGTTAAAAGATAAAATTGTTGCTATGACATAAACGCTCTAATTATTACTAATTGTATTAGAGTACCCTTAAATTCTTGGAACGTGACACCCTGTATATTAATATAATCAGTTATTATTATTTAATGTTTTAAACACCCTGTATATAACTATATAATCAGTTATTAATATTTAATGTTTTAAACACCCTGTATATAACTATATAATCAGTTATTATTATTTGATGTTTTAACACCCTGTATATAACTATATAATCAGTTATTATTATTTAATGTTTTAAACACACTGTAGGTAACTATATAATCAGTTATTATTATTTAATGTTTTAAACACCCTGAATATAACTATATAATCAGTTATTATTTTTTAATGTTTTAAACACCCTGTATATAACTTTATAACCAGTTATTATTCTTTAATGTTTTAAACACTCTGTATATAACTAAATAATCAGTTATTATTTTTTAATGTTTTAAATACCCTGTATATAACTGTATAATCATTTATTATTTCTTAATGTTTTAAACACCCTGTATATAACTGTATAATCAGTTATTATTCTGTAATGTTTTGGACACCCTGTATATAACTGTATAATCAGTTATTATTCTTTAATGTTTTAAACACCCTGTATATAACTGTATAATCAGTTATTATTCTTTAACGTTTTAAACACCCTGTATATAACTATATAATCAGTTATTATTCTTTAATGTTTTAAACACCCTGTATATAACTGTATAATCAGTTATTATTCTTTAATGTTTTAAACACCCTGTATATAACTGTATAATCAGTTATTATTCTTTAATGTTCTGTATAATTTCTTTTTCAACTTCCTCTCTATACCAAGCTTTTTAAAATTGATACACCCTGTCTTTAATTCTGATAAGTTCTTGAATCAACTGTTGGCAGGGTCTCCTGTAAACTAATTGAAAGTAATTAGTGAAAACAAGATCCAGTTTTAAGACTGATTTTTCCAGGTTCTCTGCAGAAGAGGATTCATTGCCCAGCTCTCAACCTACCCGGAGAACTAGACTACAGGATCATCCGCTCTTATATTCCTGTTGCAGAAGAAACATTCCTCTGGTAAATACAGGGTTATGTATTTTCAAGAATTATTCCGGGGGGGGGGGTGTTTTCGATATTCTGGGGAAAGATGAAAAATTAAACATCAAAAGGGAATTCTTATCAACCTTTGATACTTTTTATCCAAAAAAATTTTACCGATAAAAATGTTCTTTTATTCAGCGAATAAAACACGTACAAAAATTTGCCGCTCCGCGCAAACAAACCTAACTTCTGGGGGAAAAAAATGTTCAAGAAATATTTACGATTTTTATCTTGGATACCATCCTGGAATAGAGGACTGAAGACAATTTTCAGATGGCCCTTCATTTAAAGATTGTTTGTTACATTCCCCATGATACCCTGGAAACCTTTCTTTGAGTGAAATGCTAGAAATAAACGTGTTCCTCCACTTGTAATTTGGTCGTTTTCGATTATTCGTTTGACTTGTGTATTTCTAAAATAGTGACATTGAAGGAAATTGACAGAATTCCGTTTTCTAGATAGACATAAAACAAACGAAGATATCTTCCTCACTCTGTCTAAGATAATGTAAAGGTACCGTTGTGAATCGGGAATGTAACTCATTAAATGACGCAAACAGTCCTTTAAGGCATTGCCTTTAATATTGTATTGAAAGGTTTTATTATAACAATCATGGTTTAGGATGCTGAGAATGGGACTGATGAGCCCGATATAACAGAGATTCAAAATGAAAACAGTCCTACTAAAACTCAAATTGACATGGAGCTCGAACCTGACATTCTGGAACCAAAAAAATCACCAAATAACCGGCCCTGGCTCTGCCCTTGGCAGAATACTGAGAGTTTGGTTGAGAGCGAGGATACGGTGGATTTTCGTGAGACGGAGAACACAACATGCAACCCTCTCTACAGATCAGTTATCCGGTCTCGTGTTAATTCAAGGGATGGTTCCACAAATTTGAACCAGCATGAAACAGATCTCATTAAAAAAGTGTTTCATCTAAATGAGGGAAAGCTGAGGGAAAAACGAAAGCTTGAAAATCTTGCAGTATCGGATATGTGTGTTTTCCTTTACGATAAAGAAGCTTTTAGATCTAGGATTCATATGCGCTCCACCTCATATCTCTGGTTAACAGTACTCATGGGTATATTCTATACTCTGCCTGTGGTTCAGTTGGTTCTGTACTACCAGGATATATCACTGCAAACCGGGAACCTGGATATCTGTTACTACAACTTTGAGTGTCTCCATAGGTTCTCTTTCCTAGAGGACTTTGGCCATGTATTCAGTAACTTCAGTTATGTCATATCTGGAATTATTTTTATACTCCTGGTTAGGTTTCGCAGCTCCAGGTACAGAGCAGTCTGTACTCAGGACACATACAAGATTTCTGAATTACGTCACCCTGATAACTGTGGTATACCGGAGCAGTATGGAATATTCTACTCTATGGGAGCTGCTCTCATAATGGAAGGTGTTCTAAGTGCATGTTATCATGTTTGTCCAACCGCACAGAACTTCCAGTTCGATACAACCTTCATGTACGCGATATCTGTTCTCGTCTTTCTCAAGGTATTTCAGTTCAGACATCCCGACATTACTCAAACAGCTCAAGGGGTCTTTCTCGTCATAGGAATAGCTCTGGTACTTGAAGTTGTTGGATATCTTACTTCTCATGTAGGATTCTGGATTATATTTCTTGGAAGCCATGCTACCATCATTTCAATGTTTTTAATCCATATTTATTACAACGGTTCATGTCCTACCGTGTCAGAATTGTTAAGTTTCACTGCACTTAAAGAGTTTATAGAGAGGATTAAAACCTGCTCCTTGTGCAAGATGAAGGAATGTATCCCAACCTTAACGGTTATTGTGTTGAACATTGGCATTGCAGGGTTCTATCTTTATAAACAAAACCCTGGGGTATCCAGGTACCTTCTAGTCATTATTGCAGCCAACATGACGCTTTATGTCATGTTTTATCTGGGAAACAAACTGTGGATAAGGTTTCATGCAAGCCGTTGGAGACTTAGTGAAGGATTAACAATGCTAACGACGATGTACGGACTTTTCTCCATTCTCTTCATGATGGCTGCAATGTATTTCTTCACAGCTGAGCTAAAGAGCAGTGCTGGAACTCCGGCAGAGTCAAGGAACCTAAACGGAGCCTGTACTCTAGGTATATTTGATAATCATGATCTCTGGCACTTTTTCTCAGCAGCAGGACTCTTCTTTCTCTTGATCTTCCTTCTCACGCTAGAGGATAACAACTTGAGAGTTCCCAGGAACAGAATCCCAGTTTTCTAATAGATTCAAACCAATTCTTTTTTATTTGAAATGAGCCGCTCAGACCGTAGACAATTAATTTGCTTTGAATTGTTATGCTCAACCCGTGATCATATTTGAATTTGATTCAAGTCGTGGGTTATTCTTTATCAAGTCAGCCACCCCATGGAAGTCAATATCATGGATTTTCTTTAAAGGAATTGAGTTTTTGCAACAAACTCTGATTTTCTAATTGCTATATCTTTTTATCCCAATGTCGTAGACCTTTAATATTTATGAATTCTGATAGATCAAATAATCTATGCTTGAAATATCAAAGGTTTACACAATCTGGTAACATAGATGTAAGGATTAGAAAATGGAGTTTCTGGCAAAAGCTCAAATTTAATAAAAATCCATGAAATTGATTTCCATGATCACCAAAAAATGGCTGAGTTCATAAAGAATGACCCTCATACAAAAAGGCTCAATTTAAATTTGAATTGCAAGAATGAAAATTACCCCATCCAGTGTCGTAATGATTTTTTTAATGGCATATGTTTTTACTTTTATGAAAATGTCAAAATCAACTCAGCATTATTTATAACAACAAGTTCCTGTTCAATACAGGGGAAATAAGTTCCAAAACAGGTTAATGGTCCAGTTATTACACTCGGTGTTAAAAATGGAACTAATTTCCCCTGCAATATTAAATCAAAAAAATACCGGTACAAGATTATCATTTTTATCAAACTTTTATCTCAGAAATAGTTCAAACCTGAATATAAAAAAAACTTTATTTTACAGCTGATCATGGATAAGATATTTTAACATAAATTGTAACGTAAATCTCAGTGACAAATGTAACAATTGTCTTTAAATAATTATTTATTTTTATAAATTGAAAAATTGTTTTGTCGCAATGTTAAAGTTTTTAAATTGAAATCGAAAATCTGATTTGACATTCCCCAAAAGCATTTGTTTAAAAGATTTTTATCATACAGTTTTTTTCTTTGAAAATTGCTCTGTTACTTCGGAAAAAGAAAAAGTGCCATTTTTTCATGACGATTGGAGGATTTAGTTTTAGAATTAATTTCAGACTAGACATTGTGCCATAATATCCATAAGTTTTTTGTAGTTTAACATAATACTCTTATAATGAAAATACAATGGCATCATTTTTTTACAACGTTCAAATTAATGTGATTATTGTTTCTTTAAATTTGCTGTGATAATGTTTTCATCCTTGTTATTTGTTATTTTTAGTTTTTTTGTTGTTTCATTCCATAAACATTTGATTTCATTGGAAAAACCAGCTTCTTGACTTTAGAGCAATCTTGCAAGTTAAAAAAAAATTGAAAAATTGAAACGTCAACCAGTCAAATTAATATTTATGAACCATTTACTATATGTTTATAAACTAGTTGACTTATATGTTTATAAAATAGTTGACTGTATGTTTATAAAATAGTTAACCATATGTTTATAAACTAGTTGACTATATGTTTATAAACTAGTTGACTATATGTTTATAAACTAGTTAACTATATGTTTATAAACTAATTGACTATATGTTTATAAACTAGTTGACTATATGTTTATAAACTAGTTGACTATATGTTTATAAACTAGTTGACTAAATGTTTATAAACTAGTTGACTTTATGTTTATAAACTAGTTGACCATATGTTTATAAACTAGTTAACTAGATGTGTATGAACTAGTTGACTATATGTTTATAAACTAGTTGACTATATGTTTATAAACTAGTTGACTATATGTTTATAAACTAGTTGACTATATGTTTATGAACTAGTTAACTATATGTTTATGAACTAGTTGACTATTTGTTTATGAACTAGTTGACTTTATGTTTATGAACTAGTTGATTATATGTTTATGAACTAGTTAACTATATGTTTATGAACTAGTTGACTATATGTTTATGAACTAGTTAACTATATGTTTATGAACTAGTTGACTATATGTTTATGAACTAGTTGACTGTATGTTTATGAACTAGTTAACTATGTTTGTGATTGGTAATATTTATGAATTATGAAGTGAATTATCTGTTATCTCCAAAACTCTGATGTTATTACTAAAATAAATGATGTTTATTAAAACGATGAAAACCATATTTTCAGAATAATTTTCCCAAGTCAGGATGATTTGCATTATTTTGGTCTAAGAAGGTTTCATCTTTAATCATTTTCAATCAAACCTAATGGACTCGTCTTCATGTCTACTTTAGCTGTCTATCTATCGATCTATCTTACAGCCTTAAAGGGACTGTGGGCATTATTCTGATTAACCCTCAGTTCAATTTATTTTGTGCCATAAAAAATAGTGCTTCTCTTGGCTATTGCACTTTATAACACGTGACTTAAAGGATGGACAAAGAAGGGTTGAAATAAGATTTTATTCTGGACAAGGAACAACAGAAAATATACGAATCAGATGGTGAGAAGGGGACTTGGCGGGAAGAGGAGATTTCAACGCTCTGTTCTTCATTCTCTCTTTTCCCAGCCCAGTACGAGTCTTGATATCGTACTTAGCTGGGGGTTATAGTTAAAGCTGTCAGATATGACTTTGTATTTACTTTAAAAGATAAGACTTTTAGGACCCTATAGTTTCTGTGTTCTTTTTAGATAAAAAGGGGAGGCTCAAAACATAGGTTTAAACAATACATCAATAAACAGTTCTCAACATTTATAACATAATATGTTAAAAAAGATAAATGAGTCTGAATAGAGGAGGAGGATAAATAAAGGACAATAAGGATAAAGTTCTACAAGGATGAATCATGAATATCTGTAGAAACTATTAAATCATGAATGAAATATACGAGGAAAGAGAAATGGAAGATTGAATAAATGAGAATCTGAATTATGTATTTCTTCTTAAGATCTTAAACTAATATTTACTTCTCACAGTTTCCTTCTAATCTGATTATGTAGGGTGAGATAGGAAGAAAGGATGTTTGTGTGATTGTCAAGTTTGTGTGTTTTTAGTATGAACCTTGAATCGAGGGTGCTTGGTGCCCCTCAAGAATTTAGATCTTATTTTCTATATTTGATTGGAATGGAAAGAGTTCTTAAAAACTAGAAATTAACGTAGAATTGTTAGAACAACATTTTTTTTACTATTCAAAAGTTCTATTTCTGCATTTCAATTTGAGATAGAAAACTAAAGAAACCTCTCAACTTAACAATACGGGACATGTTACGGCGTTGAAAGTTTTAACTAATTCAATTTGATTTGAAGTATTTTTTAGTATTAGTATACAATATCTACAATTATTATTCTTTTGCTCATGAATAAACTTAATCAAAGCCCTAAATTGTGCCCACTTCGGATACTGAGATCAAGCATTCCACGTGGATTTAACGGTTCTGTCAATGTTCCAGAAAGCTGTGACTTTCGATCACAATTTCACCCATTAAACATGGAAAACATAAAAAAAATGCGTAAAGTAACTGATTGTTGAGTTAAAGACCAAAACACGTTTGATTTCAAATAGAAGAAACCGAATGCTGCTCACTCTGGTTAGTCCGGTGTGATTCCAGATTAACGATACTAGCACCCAAAAGTTTCTAGCTCCAAACAAATAAGATCTAAAAACTAAAGCGATAGAAGGTATTTTACAAAAAAAGGATGATTAATTGTGTACACAACAATTCATAAAAAAAGGGTTAAAGCTATTAGTAAAGTAAGGTGTGAGTGACGATAAATATGCAATTCACTAGATATTCATGGTTTTGTGATTCACCAAAACAATATTTGGCGCCAATTTTTTATTTAGAATTCTTTTATAAATTTCTACAATTGAAGACAAACAGCTCGTGATTATAAACCGGTGTCATGTCAAAAGAAATAGTCCTTTTAACCAAATATTTATTAAATTTAACTTATTTTTCAATTTTTAAAGAATTACCTCCTCAAGAATTTTAAGTATTTTTATTCAAAAGATTATATGCTGTATTCTTAATATTTGAGGGTTAGGTTAGGTTGTTGCCAATATGAAAGCAGTCTCTATATTTGTTAACCTGAATATGCCTCTAGATATATTATGTTGTATATTGTCTGTAAATCTAAATGTGATTATCATCAACTACGTAACATAATTAAAAAGATAGATAAAACGATAGATTGACTATGTTATATCTATCCGTGCTAATCTTAAAAATATGTACATTAAACTTAAACTAAGCTGTATACATATTGACGTAAAACTTGTAAATTATTTTGTTCAACGTTAACTTGTAACATAGCTATCTAATATAAATTAGTTGATATAGAGACTTTGACTTGAGTACAGCAAGAGAGTAATCAGTTCTTGTTGAAACCAATACGAGTTGAGATCGCGTCCTTTTATTGCCATTGATTGATTAATAGCTAGTGTACAATTGACATCGATACCTGAAAATGTTGTGCCCATTGTTTTGGTGTTGATAGAATACAAGCTTGTGTCTGGTTGACATAGATAGTTGACGAGATAACGTTCATTGGTTTGGTATTTATAGAACACGGGTTAGTGTTAAAAGTACCTGGATAAATACAGATCTGAGAGCAGTTTATGGAGTAGAGCTTTTTACTACAAGGTTACGACAATTTTGAGTTGAGCGCTCTGGCCTAGAAATGCTAGGGGGCCAAGCCCCAAATTGGTTTGGCATAATTCATTTTCGTGAAAAAATGCGATTTTTCGCGAAAAAGTCTCTGCAATTTTTCGTAAACGTTTTCGTTCGCTGGAAACCCTAGCGGTAGTCCTGATACCTTCTTCCCGTCATATCATAGAAGTTGCATGTCATCATTAACGACGCATCCTTTGTGGGTAAACCTGTACGACCAAAATTTTCTTACTAAAGATGTGTGAACATGGTTTTCAATAAAAAAAAACTTCCTGAATTCCCCTAGTAACCAACCGTGTGGTTAAAAGATAAAACTTGAATAGAAAATTAAAATGAAAGATTTAATTTTAATTAAATTCTTTCAAACATTTCTCTTTTGTCTCAACTTTTCTGCAGAAGATTAAGCTGTGTGATTCATGCAGTATTCTTTATATTTTTCATATGTACATCAAATATAGGTAATGTTACATCGTCTATACACAGCACCCCCCCTACTTAACTTTTTTACAAACTCGCGAATCTTTTTGATCCACCCATAATGTAAATGCGGGAATTATTCACTAAATGCATAAATGCATTTGATCTGACGGTTCTACGCACATTGCACAATGCACAATATACATTTGTTTTCCTTCCGTTTCTAATCACAGACCATGGCCACGAACACAACTGCAATTTATAAAAAAAAATGTTTTTTTTTATTTTTTCCCCCTTTGGCAATATAATTATTGCTGTAAAAAAATAAGATGATAAAATTGAATAAGGAGAAACTGAAATATATAATTTAATGTGATCCTCCATCAATAGAGTCGCACTTTTGAGTCAAAATATTAACGTTTTGAGCCGGGGAAGGCGACACACACCTATTTTACCTCCGACCTTACAAATTAAGTCCCAAAAGTGGATTTGCGGTATGCGCTTACCCCTATAGCCTCCGAACCCCAACCGTGTCCCTTCCGGTAAAATGTATATATTTTGTGCATGCAAATTATAGATTAATACAGCAATAGATTAGATTGTTGTCATATTAATAAACTCATTCATCAGTACCCTGTGCTATATATTGTTTATGGAGTAAAAACCAACCAATCTGTATTGGGTATTGGTCCCTGATTTAGCTTTAATATACTATATCCCTCTCCGGGTAAAGAACGAAACTACAGATAGAATTCACTCAGTTATTCTAATGTAAATATTCTAAAGATTATAATATATCTTTCGGATTATTCTTCTAGAGAAAAAAGATCAGTTTTGAAGCAAAATAAGGATCTTTGTTCGTAAATGTATTGTAATTTCAAGTTACCCTGCATCATTTTTTTTATAAATGAAAAGTGTTAAATCATCTAAAAATGGAAGATCACTTGAAGTTCCGTACAAGTCCCTTTAAAAATTATTTCCACGCCTAGTAAACTAAAAAATTGCAAATAATTAGGTCATGTAAGACGAGGAAAGAAAAATCCCAAAGAGTAGGAAACACTACAAACTCACATTAAGCTCTTCAGTTTCTGACATTATCTAATAATAAAAACCTCAAAATAAAAGATTCCAAGTGGGACAACAATCGATAATTCAACAACTTTTTGAGTAGGTTTGAGACCTTCAAGACCATATTGAGAATAATTCATATATATCTAACAATTTAGACTGATAAAGGGAATAAAATTGACAAATTCTTCTTCAAAAGTTTAAACCCCCCACGTATTTAACATTTGTACCATGTGCAGTCATCATTCTAATCCCTATATCTTTCAAACCTGCGTACCTTTGATATTTCAAACTTAGATTATTTGAACTAAAAGAATTCATAGTTT